TGTGAAACAATTACTCTCTGTGTCATGACTTTTGAGAAACCCTGTATAACATTAACCTTATATCTCTTGACTTTTGGGCAACCCAGTATAATAACCCTGTGCGTTCTGACCTTTGGGCCACCTTGTATAATAAAAATGTCTGACTTTTGGGCTACCCTCTATAATACCCATTTATGCCCTGACTTTGGGCCACCCAGTAAAATAGCCATATGTGTCCTGACTTTTCAGCCACCCTGTATAATAAACACCTATAGTGTCCTGACTTTTGGGCCACCCTATATAACAATAACCATATGTGTTCTGACTTGTTGGCCACCTTGTATAATAATAACCCTATGTCTCCTGACTTTTGGGTCACACTGTATAATAACGCTATGTGTCCTAAATTTTGAGCCATCCTGTACATAATAACCTTATGTACTATGACGTTTTGACCAACCTGTATCATAATAATGTTATGTGTCTGATTTTTGGGCCACCCTGTATAATAATCACGTGTGTATTGACTTTTGGGCCACCCTGTATAATAATCCTGTGTGTCCTGACATTTGGGCCACCCTGTATAAAAATCCTGTATTCTGACTTTTGGGCCACGTAAAATAATAATAACCCTATGTGTCCTGACCTTTGGGCCACCCTGTCTAAAATCCTCTCTTTTGGGCCACCCTGTAAAATAACCATATGGGTCTTAACTTTCTGGCCAGCCTGTATAACAACTCTCTTGTGTGTGCTCACTTTTGGGCCACCCTGTAAAATAACCCTGTGTCCTGACTTTTGAGCCACCCTGTATAACAATAACCCTGTCTCCTGACTTTTGGGCCACCCTGTATAACAATAACCATGTCTTCTGACTTTTTGGCAACCTTGTATAATAATAAACCTATGTCTCATGACTTTTGGGCCACCATGGAAAACAATAATTTACGCGTCTCGACTTTTGAGCCACACTATATGATAATAACCCAATATGTCTTGACTTCTGGGCTACCCTGTAAAAGAATAACCCTATGTGGCCTGACTTTTGGGGCACCATGCTTTATAACCCTGTGTGTCCCTGCTTTTGGGACATGTATAACAATAACACATTACATAAAATCCGTGATCTGGTTCCGTCTGTAAAAGATGTGATTCCGGACATACAGTACCCTGGTGTCTACAAACTAAGTTGCCTCTGTGGTAGTAGTTACATTGGAGAAACCAAACGACATGTCTCGGACCGCATTCGTGAACACAAAGCAGACCTGAAAGACGGTAGGACCAACACCTCGGCCATGGCAGATCACTGTTATAATTCAGTAGGTTCACATGACATTGACTTCTCCAAGACAGAGGTTCTTTGCAAGCCATCTGGCTACCATGAGAGATTCGTTCATGAGGCTATCCACATATACAAACACAGAGACAATTTCAACCAAGAAGATGGATTCTGGCTTAGCAATCATTGGAAGGATTTGATAAACCATTTCGGGTCTTAATTGGTTGATCACGCTTAAGGTGGCTTTCAGACTGCATCCATTATTTTTCGTCTCCCCCCCTCCTCTTTTCCGAACATAGATGGACTCGTCCATCTGAACAAACTATCAAATCGCTATCCGTGGTGCTAACGTAAAAAACCGCCACTTTTTTCAAATTTTATTGTGGTTTTCACACCTGATGATGATTGCTTGTGTTGCAGTCGAAACGTCGTGATAATTTTATTGTTTTATATTTTTATTTTTTTGTTTCCCTTCTACGTGACTTTACCGAAAGAACCAAGCATATGAATCCCTGCAGTCACGAAAGCTTTAAATCAAAATAACTTACGTCTTCTGACTTTTGGGCAACCCAGCATAATAACCCTGTGTCCTGACCTTTGGTCCACCCTGTAAAATAATCGTACGTTTCCTGACTTTTGGGCCAACACCTATATTAATAACCTATATGTCCTGTATTTTGGGAGACTATGGATAATAATAACCCTTTGTCTCCTGATTTTTGTGCCACCCTGTAAATAGTAACGTATGTGTCCTGACTTTTGAGCCACCCTTTTTAACATGAACCCTGTCTCCTGAATTTTGGCCCAACCAGTCTAATAACCCTATGTGTCCTGACTTTTGGGCCCCCCTATATGATAGCTTTGTGTTCCTTGAGTTTTGGGACACTGTATACTACCACGTTTCGATGACGAACGCTTGTGTTGCGATCGAAACGTATTTTTTTGGTTATTTTAATTGAACCTATCTACGTGACTTTACCGAATGACCCAAATAATATATTCACGTTCTTGTTGTTGTAGCTGAGCTTACCCACCCAAGGGGTACCTGTGCAACAGAGGAAGAAATGTAAAAGGAATCTAAATAAACTTAAACTCTAATCCCACTCCTCACCGTGCTCGCTCTCTCATTTACCACTCCACGTGACGTCATCGTCGCAAGACGCCAGGGGGTGTGTACCCCGCTAGTGACGTCATGTCACCAGTAAAATAATTTGGGCAAAGCCACTGACAATTACTCCATATAAGGGCGTGCTTCATAAATGTAATTTGTCCATTAAATCCGTCGCGAGTTCATTATGTCCGGTTAAACAGCCACGCCCAATCACTCAATGTCAGGGCCTGCCTCATTACCATAATTTATTCAATGGGAGTCAGTAAACTCGATAGTGACGTCATGTCATCTCCCTGCCGCGCGATTCTATGTGACGTCATGAAATCCCGGAAACCTGCTCGCCACTCAACTGAGATCCGAGGTGAGAAGTTCACATCGTGGTGGTGGTCGTCGTGGTTTTTGGTGGTGGTTGTTGTTGTGTATTTAGGTGCAGCCTCGCTTCTTCTCTTGTTTTCCTGGGGATCTCAATTAAGTGTAGCAGCGAGTATGCAATCGATGTCCAGGTTGGAACGTTACAAAGTGTGGCCTAGCCATGCTGGGCTTGCCTCCTGCCATCGCCTGATTGTATTTGCTTTGATTTTTGTTAATTTTTATTTGTCCTTACCCCTGCCGACAACTTTAAAACCATGTTTTAAAAAAATATATTTATACAATTTTGAGCTATATATCTCTTGCAAAGCCCCATTGTGGTTTCAGGCCAGGGCAGTTCTGCGCAAATGTCATACAGTGGACCCTTGAATATCACGGGTTTATTTTTTGCGGTTTCGACCTATCACGGGAAACCTCTTTGCAAGTGCTGTTCGCAAGTAGCACCTATAAAGGTCGGCACGGCACACAAAGGGGATCGGTTACCAGCACGATTCCTGGCTGCCTTTGTCTCCCCAGTGGCGATGTTTACACAACACACCAGGTGCTTATTTGAGGCTGAGTCGACCTGGGAAGGCCCAGGGCCAATTCAGATAATCGTCATGGTTTTGGGCGCGAGCGGAAATTGAACTCGGGTCGCTGGGTTCATAGCGCAGCACGCTAACTGAAGCACTACCACTCTCCACTCACACACACATCGTCATCATTGTATGTAGAGTATTTATTCAGTATTTATAATCCTATTTAATGTCTTGGAATGTTTTTTTCTATACAGTTTCTACTTGTTTATTTAAATTGTTTTGTTTTTAGTTCATTTGGCATGCTGTAAAGTACTTATTTCAATTGTGATGCGTATTTTTGGTTGCCGTTTACCTAACCCCATTGTTTCGGTAAGGCTTAAGTATTGAATATCACTGTTTTGGCTTTCTTAGCACGTCTCTTGATGTAATCAAGGCCTAAGGACCATGAAGAGGCTTCGGCTTTTGCTTGTTCATTGTTTTCGGTATCCCTGCCCCTCTGCTCACATTCGTTAAGGATTTTTATGATTTTGGGCAGGCCCGGCAAATGCTGCGTGACAAGGATTCGGAGCCGTTTCCTGTTCAAGTTGGCGTGTGACAGGAATTCCCTCTGGTCACATACATTACGGTAAGTCCCCGGGTAGCGGAAGACTCGATTTACGGAAATCCCACCTGATGGAAATGCTCCCATAAATCGCGTAAAAAAATCAACATGCAGAAATGTTTGCCTTTGTTACTTAAGCGCAAGTAGTCCAGCGCGGTGAGGTTCTGGATGAATACCACGGAGCGAGGCATAAGGCAGGCAGCATCTTCCCCAAGGCGGTGGTGTATAGCTGCTCTGCACTCTCAGACATGCTGTTACATTGTTACCGTGCGTATACTGTTCCTGCCACATCGTCTCGTCACGTTCAGTGTCATATCACCCTTAATTGCATTGCAATAATGACTGGCATGTAATTTTGGTTTTCTGTGCTTAGAACTATCTTGTTTTTCCCATGTTTCTCTTGATAGTTTTGATTTGAAGTTTATTTCATAAGTTATTTGCGTTATGTACTTTATTTAACACAATTACACTTCGATTGCTTATGGTCTCAGCCGACAGCAATCGGAGAGGTCTAGGCCTAGCCTATTGCCTGGTAAACGAATACAGTAAAACCTTGGGTTGCGAGCATGATTCGTTCCGGAAACGTGTTTGTAATCCAAGCACTCGTATATCAGTTTTGATCATGTGACGCTCGTCAAAGTGTATACTACTCGTATTGCAAGACCTCGCTCGTTTATAAATTTAATATTTAAAAATTTTGCTCGTCTTGCAAAACACTCGCAGACCAAGTTACTCGCAATCCAAGGTTTTACTGTATTCAGAAGTTACTGTTTTCTGTTAATTAATATAAAATGTCTCAGTGTTCATAAATAATTGGATAAGTTTTTCTTCCATTAGTTTAATTATGGGTAGTGTTAGGGCAGATATTTGATGAAATGAAAGAATCATAGGAAGTGCAGAACGTATGTACAGCAATACGATACAGGTCGCGATATAAAACTTACTATAGCGCGATACAATACTGAGTGAAAACGAACGAGTAATTGGGTAGGGGTGGCACAACTCTTTCTGGCTATGGGATTTCGTCTTGATTTTGGGGGAAAATTGTTCAGTTTCTGACATAGGAAATTCGGGTTACGGATCGTACCTGGGAACCTACCTCTTCCATAACCCGGGGACTGTACATTAAGATAGCATCTTCAATAGTTACATAGTTTTGAGAACCTCACAATGGCCCTACAAAAATGCATTTGGTACAGTTACAATAAGAGGATAGTCGATGGCTGGTTATACTAAAGGGATTGTTTCCCGCTGGTCAACGATTTAATGTATGCTGATGATCTGGTAATGGCTACTCAATGTGATGGAGTTAGGGACTCTTTTTCTGTACCTGGAGACTTTCATCCTGAGGAGGATCCTTACATACGTTCCAAAAGAATAAAGCACCTGCCTGGATATTTCATGTCATCCAACATTCTGCCTGCTCGCCTCTTAATGAGTAATCAGGCAGTTCTACAGGTGGTAAAGGAGCTTTCATACTTGGTTAATGTGTCACGACCAGCTCTTGTTTGGCAGCTAAAGTCTCAATTCAAGTTAGTCGAGCAGCATTCTTTAATTAGACTGTCTAACATGGTGAGGAAGCTGCCTGGGCCGTTGCTCCATACAAATCACTGAATCTTCTTGCCCACAGCTATGACCCCTTTCTCTGTGGATGTGAAATGTGGACTCCTTTAAAGAACCATTTGTGCTGGCTTATACAATTAAGGCTGGCCTGCCTATGATTCATCTATTGAGCCAGACTTGATGGTATTCAAAGCTTACAAATCCCTGAGATATCCATACAGAATATAATCAATGAGCTTCTTTGGCAGGCGAGGCTGCATTCGTTGGTCATGAATCCCGCATGCTCAGAAACTGCATGCTCAAGCAGCGGAAGTTAGTTCAGATACGACGGACTAAACGGGTATGGCATGGGCTAGAGAAGAGATTGGAAGATGTGGAGGTGATCAGACTTGCCGATGACTGGTACCAGGAGTGTGAAGATCGGCCTCTGTGGAGGATGCCCGTGAAGGATGCTGCAGGGTAGTTGGAGGCATTCGTCCTGCAACATCGAGGTCAGAGGAGTGACACATCAATGGGTGGAGCGCTGGGTGCCTAAAATGCAGCAAGTTGGCACAGTGGTTAGCACAGGTGGTGCATCTGCCAGTCATCTCAGTCATCCCTTAACACCTGGATCATTCCCATGACCTACTGGCAAGTGCTCCACACTTACATGGCCTCAGTTCGCACCTATCATGGCATGACCCCTGATGATGTTACAACTAGAGGCCGACCGAAATTCGGTTTCAGCCAAAAGTAAATTTTTAACTTTCGGTTTACTGTCGCTTTCGGCCGAAAATAAATTTTTAACTTTCGGTCTGGTTTCGGTTTCGGCCGAAACTGATGTTGACTTTCGGTCGTTAACCGAAGATCTATTTTTAGAATATAACGCTAGTGCTAAGTCTATCAGCCGGTCAGTCGGCACTAGGCAATCTTATGCGATAGGCTGCATACAGTGAGGGAAAAAAAGTATTTGATCCCCTGCTGATTTTGTACGTTTGCCCACTGACAAAGAAATGATCAGTCTATAATTTTAATGGTAGGTTTATTTGAACAATGATAGACAGAATAACAACAACAAAATCCAGAAAAACGCATGTCAAAAATGTTATAAATTGATTTGCATTTTAATGAGGGAAATAAGTATTTGACCCCCTCTCAATCAGAAAGATTTCTGGCTCCCAGGTGTCTTTTATACAGGTAACGAGCTGAGATTAGGAGCACATACTCTTTGGTTCTATTCGGTAAAGTCACTTAGGTAAAAAATAAAACAACAAAAATCACGATGTTTTGGCCACAACACAAGTGGCCTTCATCAGGTGAAGGGACCATGCTGTCATGAGGACAGGGTTGGAGTGAAAACAGCCAAGCCCAAGTCGCGTCCTTTAAACTGTGTGGGAGGAAACAAAACGCTTTGACAAAGGAATTAGCATAAAAATGAGCATGATGTACGTAGGAGGTACATGATGGACCAGGCGCGGGGAGGGGGGGAGTTTACGTAATGTTGGTGTGGAGAGAAATAATCAGCTGTGAAAGTTTGGGATACCACTACTTGAAAAAATATACTGTACCATTGAAAATTAGTTTAATGTTTGGTTTGATTTAGAACATCTTTCCAATGATTGCTTAATTTGAAACCATCCTCTCGGTTGAAATTGTGTCTGTGTTTGTAAATCTGAATAGCCTCGTAGACAAATCTCTGATGATAACCTATGGGTTTGCAAAGGACCTTGGTATCGGAGAAAACTATATCGTGATCACCCACAGCGTTGTAACATTGATCAGCTACGGCAGAAGAATTCGTTCTGCCGTGTTTCAAATCTGATTTGTGCTCGCGAATTCGGTCAGAGACATGTCGCTTCGTCTCCCCGATATAGCAATCACCACAAGTGCAGCTCAATTTGTAAACCCCGGGGTACTGTAAGTCAGGAACGACATCCTTCATGGATGGGATCAGGTCACGGATTTTGTGTACTGTATTGAACCGGACCAGGATCTTGTGTTTGTTTAGAATTTTGGAGATCTTTTTAGTAACGCCTGCTATATATGGTAGTGTGATGGTTAAAGGGTTAAAGGGAGTGCTTCTAATCTCAGCTTGTTACCTGTATAAAAGACACCTGTCCCAATCAGTCAATCAGATTCCAAACTCTCCACCATGGCCAAGACCAAAGAGCTCTCCAAGGATGTCAGGGACAAGATTGTAGACCTACACAAGGCTGGATTGGGCTACAAGACCATTGCCAAGCAGCTTGGTGAGAAGGTGACAACAGTTGGTGCGATTATTTGCAAATGGAAGAAACACAAAAGAACTCCCTCGGCCTGGGGCTCCATGCAAGATCTCTCCTCGTGGAGTTGCAATGATCATGAGAACGGTGAGGAATCAGTGCAGAACTACACGGGAGGATCTTGTCAATGATCTCAAGGCAGCTGGGACCATAGTCACCAAGAAAACAATTGGTAACACACTACGCCGTGAAGGACTGAAATTCTGCAGCGCCCGCAAGGTCCCCCTGCTCAAGAAAGCACATATACATGCCCGTCTGAAGTTTGCTAATGAACATCTGAATGATTCAGAGGACAACTGGGTGAAAGTGTTGTGGTCAGATGAGACCAAAATGGAGCTCTTTGGCATCAACTCAACTCGCCATGTTTGGAGGAGGAATGCTGCCTATGACCCCAAGAACACCATCCCCACCGTCAAACATAGAGGTGGAAACATGCTTTGGGTTTTTTTTTCTCCTAGGGGGATAGGACAACTTCACCGCATCAAAGGCACAATGGACGGGGCCATGTACCGTCAAATCTTGGGTGAGAACCTCCTTCCCTCAGCCAGGGCATTGAAAATAGGTCGTGGATGGGTATTCCAGCATGACAATGACCCAAAAAACACGGCCAAGGCAACAAAGGAGTGGCTCAAGAAGAAGCACATTAAGGTCCTGGAGTGGCCGAGCCAGTCTCCAGACCTTAATCCCATAGAAAATCTGGGGAGGGAGCTGAAGGTTTGAGTTGCCAAACGTCACCCTCGAAACCTTAATGACTTGGAGAAGATCTGCAAAGAGGAGTGGGACAAAATCCCTCCTGAGATGTGTGCAAACCTTGTGGCCAACTACAAGAAACGTCTGACCTCTGTGATTGCCAACAAGGGTTTTGCCACCAAGTACTAAGTGATGTTTTGCAGAGGGGTCAAATACTTATTTCCCTCATTAAAATGCAAACAAATTTATAACATTTTTGACATGCGTTTTTCTGGATTTTTTTGTTGTTATTCTGTATCTAACTGTTCAAATAAACCTACCATTACAATTATAGACTGATCATTTCTTTGTCAGTGGGCAAACGTACAAAATCAGCAGGGGATCAAATACTTTTTTCCCTCACTGTATGTAGTGGCCTTATGATGACGGAGACTGTTGACTTGAGGCAACACCTATTTATTACAAATACTTCAACAGTAGCGACCTTGACACTTGAAGAGGTAACGGCCTCTTCACCCGTTCTATATAGAGGGAAGTGTTCCCCGAGTTAATGTCCATGTGAACTCCCTACCTCCCTCTATTCTAGTCCTCCCCACTGGAGGCTAACTGACCTGGCCTAGCTTCGGCGCAGGTCTCGACCACCAGCCACACGAGTCCGGCCCTTAGAAGGACATTGGCCCTCGCGGTTCTGGGGTCGCACCTTGGCTTGCTCTGCCCGGCCCTGAAAATGGCAGCGAGTCAGAGGAGTTCCAGGGTCTGGCTAGTCAGTCTTCTCTCTTCACTGGCTCTTCGTCTTGGCTTGGTTGAACTGCCCTCTCTGCTCTCTGGGTCCCACCGTTTATACAATTTCTCACTGAGGGGCAGGTTTCTGTGGGATCCTACAGACCCCCCAGTCCCTTCCCCTCAGGAGGCCCTGGACCCACATCACACACAACCGCCCACAACCGGTTTGTACCGCTTCCCAGAGGGGCGGGGTCCTGTGGGATCCTACAGACCCCACAGCCCCCTCCCCTAAGAAGGCTGGTCCGAGATGACACACTCACCCTCACAGGTAAGTATTGTAAGTCGCCCGGTTTGGTGTGTGCATGCTCCAACACCACCACCACACATACACACACACACATCAGCAGCAGCAGCTTGCGAGCGAGGTTACAGCCGCAACCATGGTCTGGGGCCGTCAATAAATGACGTCACGCACCTAAGGGGGGGGGGGGGGGGGTGGCAGCGACTGCGTAGCGATTCGCGTGCTGCGCTACGAACCCGGCGCCCCGAGTTCGATTCCCGCTCACGGCCGGTAACGATTATTTGAACCGGTCCTGGGCGACTCAGCCTCAAACGAGTAAGTGATGTGGTGTGTCAATCGCCACTGGGGATACAAGGGCGGCCGGCCGTGGTGCTGGCCACCCACCCCCTTGTGTGCCATGCAGTGCCGGCCTTCATAGGTGCTCGCTAACAGCACTTGCCTCCTACAGTCTCACAGGCTACATGGGGATCTTTGTCTTTAGCCTATGTGTGTGGGGGGCGGGGCAGCGACTGCGTAGCGATTCACGCGCTGTGCTAGGAACTCGGCGGCCCGAGTTCGATTCCCGCTCACGGCCACCACCGGTGACGATTATTTGAACCGGTCCTGGGCTACCCCTAGGTCGACTCAGCCTCAAACGAGTAAGTGGTGTGGTATGTCAATATCGCCACTGGGGAGACAAAGGCGGCCAGCCGTGGTGAATCCAAGTCCCTGGCGAAGCCGGGTAGTTAAATCTAGTATTTCATAAATCTTGTGTTCGGTTACTTCGGTTATATACCTTTCTGTTTCGGTTTTGGTCGCAAGTGTAGTAAAATTTTCGGTTTCGGCGTCGGTTTCGGCCGAAAGTGTAGTTAAACTTTCGGTTTCAGCTTCGGTTTTGGCCGAAAGTAAATTTTTTACTTTCGGTCTGGTTTCGGTTTCGGCCAAAACCAGAAATTCAGTTTTGGTCGGCCTCTATTTACTACCAACTAGTGGTGAAGCGTGGCTGTTTCCTTCATGTAATCTGTTGATGATTCATGTGAAACTTATCTGTATGTAAGAGTGTATCTACATGGGGAGCGGAGGTACATTTGTTCGTGCACTGCATTATGGAGCCAACATTCAGAGTTCTATTATTGCTGAGAGCAGACATGATTGACAAGTGATAGCTTAATTTATTGTAGGCCTCTGCTGGGTTGATCCTAGGTTAAGTACTTGATGAAGAGTATAAGCATCTGTACCTAGCAGATGAAGGCAGCCAGGCGTGGTTTTAGTCACAACACCACCTTCATCGTTCCAGTGCATTAGAGTGTAAAGTTTTTATTTGCTGTAAAGTATGTGGACCATATTAAACACCTAAGTTTAATCAAAGCAGTGTTTTTTTTTATTACACCTGTAAAGAAGCTCCTTGGAGACATCCATTTTCAGGGGAGTAGGGCTTTATTTCGCCGAATGTATATACAGTCCAAGTGTAACGACTGCCACACTCGTAATTGCTATGGCTATCTTCAGCCCCGACGGTTTCCACCAAGTTGATACCTAAACAGTCAACACCGATGGTTCCCACAGTCGGCCCCAACGTCGTCCACCTCTGGTCGTCAATTAGTCCCCGAGTAAGCGCCCCGACCGCGGGCCTCGCTCCACCTTATATACTCGCTCGGCCCCGCCCCTATCAGACAGTGCCCCCCCCCCCCCACTGTATGATAATGCTTCCAGTACTTTCCGGTCACCTGATTCCAATCACAACGCCCGCCTTCTAGAACCTTCTCTTGTACAGTCCCTGACACATGGAACGTTTCATATTCTTGGAAAATACAGCACACCATTTGCTATTTTTATCAAACTTTTGTAATAGTTAACATTTCTTCAATAGCCAGCTACAACCAAAATTCTGTATGTAGAGTTATGGGTTATCATTGATATTAAATATACTAGGGCCTCCAGGCATTATACTGACCACTTGCCTGCTATGCCAATCCAAGAGCTGATTGTCAATAGTGGCAAATGCCTTAAAACAGCCTGTGTGTTGTATTGGGGGTGATTTTTTTTATTTCTCATGAATGTTTGAGTGTTCTTGTCTATGTAATATGTGAATATCACGTGAGACTGTGTATATATGTATGTCTCTATGCTGACATACATTGTGTGGATATTACTGTTTTGTGTCTGCAGCTGCCAGTTCCTCTGCCACTTTGCTGTACATAATTGGTCAAATGGAGCGAAGACAATCAGCAGGAGAGAAACCATTCAAGTGCACTGTGTGTGGGAAGGCGTTTGCACATTCATCAAGTCTTCGGGTCCACCAGAGAACACACACGGAAGAGAAACCTTTGAAGTGCACTGTGTGTGGGAAGGCATTTGCAATGTCATCACATCTTAAAAGACACCAGAGAAGACACACAGGAGAAACACCCTTCAAGTGCACTATATGTGAGAAGGCCTTTGCACAGTCATCACATCTTAAAACACACCAGAGAATACACACAGGAGAAACACCCTTCAAATGCACTGTGTGTGGGAAGGCGTTTGCACATTCATCACTTCTTAAAAGTCACCAGAGAATACACACAGGAGAAACACCCTTCAAGTGCACTGTGTGTGGGATGGCATTTGCAATGTCATCACATTTTAAAACACACCAGAGAATACACACAGGAGAAACACCCTTCAAGTGCACTGTGTGTGGGAAGGCGTTTGCATATTCATCACTTCTTAAAAGTCACCAGAGAATACACACAGGAGAAACACCCTTCAAGTGCAGTGTGTGTGGGAAGGCATTTGCAAATTCATCACGTCTTAAAAGACACCAGAGAATACACACAGGAGAAACACCCTTCAAGTGCACTGTATGTGGGATGACCTTTGCTCAGTCATCACATTTTAAAACACACCAGAGGATACACACAGGAGAAAAACCCTTCAAGTGCACTGTGTGTGGGAAGGCGTTTGCAGATTCATCACATCATAAAAGACACCAGAGAATACACACAGGAGAAACACCCTTCAAGTGCACTGTATGTGGGAAGGCATTTGGAGAGTCATCATTTCTTAAAAGCCACCAGAGAATACACACAGGAGAAAAACCCTTCAAGTGTACTTTGTGTGGGAAGGCATTTGCACGGTCATCAACCCTTCAGGGCCACCAGAGAACACACACGGGAGAGAAACCCTTCAAGTGCACTGTGTGTGGGAAGGCGTTTGCAGAGTCATCACATCTTAAAATACACCAGAGAAGTCACACAGGAGAGACACCCTTCAAGTGCACTGTGTGTGGGAAGGCCTTTGCAAAGTCATCACATTTTAAAACACACCAGGCAACACACACAGGAGAAACACCCTTCAAGTGCACTGTCTGTGGGAAGGCGTTTGCACATTCATCATATCTTAAAAAACACCAACGAACACACACAGGAGAAAAACCCTTCAAGTGCACTGTGTATGAGAAGGATTTTCGACAGTTAGGGGATCGAAACAAGCATCAAACCATTCATCAGGAAATTAATCTGAAATCGGCTTGTGAAATTCAAAGTGCTGCAATGAGTCCATCCCTCATGAAACAAGAACCAGAAAAACATTTGAGATATTCAACGTGGCCAGGAGAGAAGGCGAAATGTCAAGAAGTAAAAATTAAATTTGAATCGGTGAAGGTGAAGAGCGAAGAAGTAATGGTAAAGAGTGAAGTGATAGTGAAATGTGAGGATGAAGATTCAACTCCAAAATCCGACCTTCACGTCGATGGAGGCAGCGTAAAGCTAGAGGAGACTGTGGACTCTGAAGCAGAGCGAGGCAACTCCCAGCAATTTGTGGATGTGGAGGTGTGGGTGGATTTTTAAGGCAATAGTGAGTCAAATGGAGACCAAGTAGATATGCATCATTGAGCTTAGGATAAATAAGTTCCATTTCATTCACAGGCCTTTCCCATCATAGAGGTGTTTTGGGTTAGATCGCATAAATATATAAATTTGTAGTTAAAACCCGACACAGCCAACTAGTAAGGATTGCCACGTAAACAGAACATGCCAATTCGTCACGAGTACAGCACACCGGTGTGTTGGAGAGCCAAGCCACAACATTTACAATCTGAGTACGACTTTTCGCCAGTCATTACAACTAGCTTCATCAGGCGTCACCCAGATTTGTGCCTTTCCCATTGCAAGGGTTTAACCTCCAAGTAGTCAATAGAGGCAGCGTGAAGCTGGAGGGGGCTACGGACTGAGAGAGAGTGAAATGAAACCCAACAGTTTGTGGAGGTGGACTTGTTGGAGGATGCAGAGTAGGAGTGGCCAGCATGTGTGGACTTGGAGGTTGGGTAGATCTGTAAGCAGGAGCGGGAGACAACAAAGCTCCAGAGCATTCAATGTGTTATAATAATATTTGGATTAATAATTGGCGCTTGCATAAATGTTTTATTTCTTTCTCAATCGTTCGACGGCTAGTCCAAGTGGCAGCTGTCCCTTTGTGGTACAAGGTGACTCAGTACCGACCTGCACGTGGACATAGTCTGCCAGTAGGGTGGAGCGATGATTGATGTGTAACCCCAGTTGGGTAATTTATGGCTAATCTTTCGAATCTGACAAATTTTGACCCTGACACCATGAATGTTGAACATCCACTGTAAGCAGATGGTGCGTATTTTTGGTCAATATTGCTGCAGTAATCATGAGGGCTGCCAGACAGATGTGAACTATGAACCTCTTTAAACAAATATCAACCGTGCTATCACTTGGCTTTTCTCATTCTAAGAATGCATACAAGTGTAGGCATCCATTCAGAGATCAGTGTACAGTAAAGGCGCTGTAATGTGATGCAGTATATTTCAATGCAATAGTTCATTGTTTGAGATGTGTCTCTTGATAATTTAGAGTTATAATTTTAACACGTATGATCTGATTTAGAGCATATACAGCAAAAGCTCTTATCCAGCATCCATGGGGAATCGAGGGTGCCATTTCATCAAATGTACTGGTTATCTGAAAGGTATACTTCATGTTTCAGCAAATTTCTCAAGTATAAAACATTTTTCAACGAATAAATGAAGCATACAATTTAACTATGGCATTCAAAATAATTAACTCTTTTACAGAGGTACTCACGAGTCAATTGTATAGCATTCTAAGTTTATTGTAGAGAAGCAATGGTGCTGTTTAGATAACAGTGTATAGTGCAGTACTGTATTACAAGTACAGTGAAACAATTAGGTTAGGCAGCTCAAAACACGATCACACTAGTGGATTGCAGATGATTGCAATTGCGACTCTATTAGCGCCACCACTCAGCAACGTCCTAAAGCAGGCTGCAAGATGCCAGAATTTTTCTTGATACTTGAAGGAATATTTATATTACAGATGCCGGTTAATAGAGCATTCCGGATGGTCAAGTACGTGATAGCAGAGTTGTTGCTGTACGTACCATTTGTTATAAAATGGTCAAAAATTGAATGTCCTAAATATACAAACGTTTGTTTTGACAGTAACCTGTGCAGAACATTTACATGACTGCTGTTGTTCATGTGATGCAGGGTTAAAGGTATTTTTTGTAGCTTAGAAACCATATACCCGACTCATTTTTGTCTTCAAAATCACGAATATAGTATATACAAGGGAAAACACTGAAATATTACATAAAGGAGAGATTTTCTCTACAACGCTAATTATGTTGTCTTTTCATACCTAATGAACATTATTTTTTTGTCTGTCTGCGTACGCCTATCCTTAACTGACAAACTGTTGGGTTTACGTTTCAACAAAGTACACATACAACAAACTATGCCCCAGACAAAAACTCGTGATTTGTTTTTGCCCTTGGTCCAATGTAAACTAATAAAATCACACTAACAATGTACGCTGATCGTAATGATAACTTTGACCATGTGCCAAAGCACGCATCTGCACATACATGGAAACGCCAACTGGCACTTGCCCCTAGCAACACAAACAAGCTTTCTGAGCGGCAACGGGAGGGAGGTTCTTCACGTACAAAATGGCAACAAACATCAAGCACAGTTACTGCTGCACAATCGCGCTGAGATAAATCCTGAACAGTGTGATGTCCTCTTCTCCCCCTCCCCGCCCCAATGTGTATGGACTTCTGTTGTGAAAGCAGGTACCACCACAGTCAGTATGCACTGCTGTAATCATAACAGGTACCACCACACTCATAGCAGGTACCACCACAATCTGCACTGCTGTAATGATAGCAGGTACCACCACACTCAATATGCACTGCTATAATCTTAGCAGGTATCACCACAATATGCACTGCTGTAATCACAGCAGGTATCTACCACACTCAATATGCACTGCTGTAATCATAGCAGGTACCACCACAATATGCACTGCTGTAATCATAGCAGGTACCACCACAGTCAATATGCACTGCTGTAATCTTAGCAGGTACCACCACAGTCAATATACACTGCTGTAATCATAGCAGGTACCACCACTATGCACTGCTATAATCTTAGGTACCACCACAGTCAATATGCACTGCTGTAATCATAGCAGGTACCACCACAATATGCACTGCTATAGTCTTAGCTACCACCACAGTCAATATGCATTGCTGTAATCATAGCAGGTACCACCACAATATGTACTGCTGTAATCATAGCAGGATACCACCACGGTCAGTATGCACTGTTGTAATCATAGCAGGTACCACCACAGTATGTACTGCTGTGATCATAGCAGGATACCACCACAGTATGCACTGCTGTAATCATAGCAGGTACCACCACAATATGCACTGCTGTAATCGTAGCAGGATACCACCACAGCCAGTATGCACTGCTGTAATCATAGCAGGTACCACCACAGTATGCACTGCTGTAATCATAGCAAGTACCACCACAGTCGGTATGCACTGCTGTAATCATAGCAGGTACCACCACTGTCGGTATGCACTGCTGTCGTGAAAGCACGTACCACCACAGTCGGTATGCACTGCTGTAGTGATAGCACGAACCACCACAGTAAGTATGCAATGCTGTAATCATAGCAGGTACCACCACAGTATGCACTGTTGCAGTGACAGCAGGTTTCACCACAGTTTGCACTGCTGTTATAGCAGGTACCACCACAGCCAGTATGCACTGCTGTAGTGATAGTAGATACTGCTATCGAGTTGGTAGATACTAAAACCGTATATACCACTACGGTCAGTAAATACTACTATACAGTCAGTAGCTACTACTGGCTCAGTAGATAGTACTGTACAGTCAGATACAACTACAAAGTCAATAGATACTACTTACTCTGTTGTGTGTAGGTATATATACCTACGCGGAGGTAAATATATTTTTTGAGGGGGTGGGTCGACAATTTTCGAAAAACTTTTAGATAAACTATTTACCCCACACTTTCTATAACTTTTTGGACTTTTGCAAGCTTATAATTTTGTTGGTGGAGAAATTGACAAATGGCCCACCGGGCTTTCACAATAGCTTAGTATCTGTGTATGTATATGTAAGGTTTTTAAAGAATATTTGAAATATTTTTTTCGCCCGGGCAATGCCGGGTACTTCCCGCTAGTAACCTATGTGTCCTGACTTTTTAGCCACCTTTTATAACATTAACCGTATGTCTCCTGAATTTTGGCCCACCCAGTATAATCACCCTATGCATCTTGACTTCTGGGCTACCCTGTAAAACAATTACCCTCTGTCTCCTGACTTTTGAGCCATCCTGTATAATGTTAACCCTATGTTTCCTGACCGTTGGGCCATCCATTATAATAACCCTGTGTGTCCTGACTTTTAGGCCTCCCTGTGTAGGGGAGTACTGCGGGGACCCAACGAGGGGCAACTGTGGGAAGGGGTTCAAGCAGAAAGGGGAGTGCCAGAAGGCAGAGAGAGAGAGGAGCGTAAGGAGAAAGACCCCAAGTAAAAGGGAGGAGCTCGGGCTAAGGGGATAAAAGGGGAACCTGGACGGAAGGGGAGTGAAAGAGAGAGAGGAGCCAGGTAGCAGGGAAAAAGGCTCCTGGGCCGGAGAGACAAAGGAGGCTACAAGTGGATGAGTATGGGGTGCCTGGACGAAAGTCGAGGGAGTCAGGAGAGAGGGCGAGAGTCGGGGAGTAGGGGGTACTCGACAGGAGTGCGGATGTCGATGTGAATAAACGGCAAGCAGCCCTGAACATTCTACCCTGGTCTCCGTCTAAGTCTGTAATCACACCTGTATAACAATAACCCTGTCACTTGACTTTTGGGCCACCCTTTATAATAACCCTATATGTCCTGACTTTTCAGCCATCCTTCATAATAACCTTATGTGCCATGACATTTTGACCAGTCTGTATCATAATGTTACGTGTCCTGACATTTTGGCCGCCCTGTATAAAAATCCTGTGTTATGACTTTTGGGCCACATAAAATAATCCTATTTGTCTTGACCTTTTGGCCACCCTGTCTAAAAACCCTATGGGTCCTCACTTTTGGGCCACCCTGTACAACAACTCCCTTGTGTGTCCTCACTTTTGGGCCACGCTGTAAAATAACCCTATGGGTCCTGACTTTTTGGCCACCCTGTTATAATCCTGCTTGTCCTGATGTTTTGGCGACCTTGTATAACAATAACCCTGTATCCTAACTTTTGCGCCAACTTGTATAACAACACCCATATGTCTCCTGACTTTTGTGCCACTCTGTTTTGTAATGCTGCGTGTCCTGACTTTTGGGCCATCCTGTATAACAATAACCCTTTGTGTCCTGATTTTTGGGCCACCCAATATAACCCCGTGTGTCCTGACTTTTGGGTCACTGTATAATGGTTATATTTGTGTCCTGACTTTTGGGTCACTCTGTATAATGGTTATATTTGTGTCCTGACTTTTGGGTCACTCTGTATAATGGTTATATTTGTCCTGACTTTTGGGCCACCCTGTACAACAATAACCCTGTGTGTTTTGTCTTTTGGGCCACTGTATAAGTGCCCGTTCAGCATCGCTGATGGGAGTGGATGCACCCAGAGCTCAAAGGCCACCCGGAGCACATTGAGGACTCAAGGGGAGGGTGTGTAGCCAGCGAACCGCACCCCATATACTCACAGGCTCCAGCTACGTGGCCACGCACAGACAGTTGGCACAGTAGGGGGCACGTGGTGCATCGGCCAGTCATCTCAGTCAACCCATGACACCTGGGTATATCCCGTGACCGCTTGCACGCGGGCATTTCATATTTCAAGTGACCTTAGCCTGGAACAATCGCCGTGTGACGTCACTGCCACTGAATGACGAATTGTGGTTGTTGGTGCTGATACTGATGATGGTTTAGATGATGTTGATGACGATGGCGCTGATGATGACCGTGTTGATGATTAAAGTGGTGTTGCTGATGATGGTGTTGATAATGATAGTGCTGAAGCTGATGGTGGTGCTTATGATGATAATGATGGTGCCGATGTTGATGCTTATGATAGTGGCGTCACACACAGTGCACACACACGCACACGCAATAATGTTCACGTTATTGTTGTAGCTGAGCTTATTCACCCAAGGGATACCTGTGCAACAGAGGAAGACATTTAAAAGGAATCTAAATCAACTTATACTCTAATCCCACTCCTCACCGTGCTCGCTCTCTCATTTACCACTCCATGTGACGTCATCATCGCGAGACGCCAACGGGTGTATACCTCGCTAGTGACGTCATGTCACCAATAAAATTATAATTTGGGCAAAGCCACTCGCAATCACTCCATATGAGGGCCTGCTTCATGTTATTTTCCCATTAAATACGTCACGAGTTCATTGTATCAGATTCAGTGGCCGCTCCCAATCACTCAATGTCAGGGACTGGCTCATTAACATAATTTATTTAGTGAGGTGGAAAACTCGCTAAGTGACGTCATGTCCTCTCCACCGCTGCGCGAATCTGCGTGACATCACGAGATCCCGGAAAGCTGCTCGCCACTCAACTGACATCCGAGGTGAGAAGTTCACATCGTGGTGGTGGTCGTGGTTTTTGGTGGTGGTTGTTTATTGAGGTGCAGTCTCGCTTCTTCGATTGTTCTCCTAGGGATCTCAATTGAGTGTAGCAGCGAGTATGGAATCGATGTCCAGGTAGGAACGTTACAAAGTGTGGCCTAGCCATGCTGGGCTTGCCTCCTGCCATCGCCTGATTGTAGTTGCTTTCATTTTTGTTAATTTTTATTTGTCCTCACCCTGCTGACAACTTTAAAGCTATGTTTATTTTTTTCCATATTTCTCATATTTTGAGCTATATATCTCTTTCCGAAGCGACCTGCGCACAACGAAGTGGCTTGTCATCGTGTGGAAATTTACAACAACCAAATGCTCTAAACTCAAGTTTCTAAATTTAGAGGTGAAAAGCGGAGTTCAAATCCACGCGACCACGCAGAAAGAGAGACACGCAAACTCCAAATAAACACGGTGTCAGCGTCGGGATCCAACCCACAACCTCCTGTATACCGGGCGGTGTAGTGAAAATCTCGCCACCGTGGTGCACACTCGAGTGCTTTATCACACTGAGTCTAATAGGGTTTTTCCCCTTTTTTCTGGCAACAAAACTGAAACCTTTTTTTTACAAGGATTCATGTCTGCATTAACCACAATACTTGCAGTCAAAATGCAAACAAGAAACACTGATAATATATGCATTGCCCTTGAAACTGATTGGCCCACACCAGAGACCGCTAGAGCCTAGTCTCATTCTAGATTTGAAGTTTTCGTGACTGCAATGATCTATACTCTGGTTCTTTCGGTAAAGTCACGTAGGTAAAAATGAAATAAAGTTAAAATAAAACAAAAATTGAAAACAACTAAATCAAATAACGACGTTTCGGAGGCAACACAAGCTTCCGTCATCAGGTGTAACTAGCACAGTAAAATTACTGGAGAGAGAGCTATTTGTGGCGTCATCTGGTCTAGCACTAATTGAGACTAGGCTCGAAAGAAAGCTGTCTCTGGTGTGGACCAATCAATTTCAAGGACATTGCATATATTATGAGAGTGTGGTTTTTGTTTGCATTTTGACTGCAAGTATTGTGGTTAATGCAGACATGAATCCTCGTAAAAAAAAGGTTTCAGTTTTGTTGCCAGAAAAAAGGGGAGAAACCCTATTATGTTTTGGTACTGGCAAAGGAGGTCCAATGACACACCGAGTCTATTTACTTAAGTTCAGGAGCGTCCTGCCGAGTTGGTTTGACAGCTGGGGGGAGGGGCTATGCTTATTCGCGTATTCCCGATTGAGTAACCTGGAGGCATTTGTTCAGCATTGCAATATTTTGACGATACCAGTCCAGAAGTTTATTTCCCGAGTGAAGTGCATTGGACTAAGAAGCTTATTTTCAAGGGCGACTCATCCGGCAGACATCAAAGCATTGAATAATAATGCTCACTCACTGCCCCACTCACCCACTCAAATCAGAAGTGAATTTCACGAGTAACATCCATTAAGCTTAGACGCTATTTTTAAGGGTGACTTGGCATTCCAAAATTACAGGTTTACAAAACAAACTTAATAGCAATTATTCTATAAAATTACATTCCCACGCAAACTTGAGTGATTTTGATAATATAGTCAGTTTAAATGAGGTTATAGATGGTAGAATTGAGACGTCAAAAGATGATACGTGGTTCCAAACATTTGGGCAGTGACATCTGTGAAACTGTTAACAGACAATCAGTCATACAGGGACCCAAAGATTCACACAGAGACCCAAAGAATCGCAGAGACCCAAATAATCGCACAGAGACCTACAGACTCACATGGACAATCAGATGCACGTCGCAGATTTTTCGGATTGTCCAATGGTTTAATAACAAGTCAAATAAAGAGCAAATCTATGGAAAAAATTGCCTTGTAAATAAAAATGTGGTTAATACAGACTTTATGTTTGTGGTCAAATATACCACAACAATGTGTGGTTAATGCAGACTTACAGTGAGGGAAAAACGTATTTGATCCCCTGCTGATTTTGTACGTTTGCCCACTGACAAAGAAGTGATCAGTCTATAATTTTGATGGTAGGTTTATTTGAACAGTGAGAGACAGAATAACAACAAAAAAATCCGGAAAAAACACATGTCAAAAATGTTATAAATTGATTTGCATTTTAATGAGGGAAATAAGTTCATAATAAAGGTTTTTGGGTTAGATCGCGTGTTAAACTGAGGGAAATAAGTATTTGACCCCCTCTCAATCAGAAAGATTTCTGGCTCCCAGGTGTCTTTTACACAGGTAACGAGCTGAGATTAGGAGCACACTCTTAAAGGGAGTGCTCCAAGTCTCAGCTTGTTACCTGTATAAAAGACACCTGTCCACAGAAGCAATCAATCAGATTACAAACTCTCCACCATGGCCAAGACCAAAGAGCTCTCCAAGGATGTCAGGGACAAGATTGTAGACCTACACAAGGCTGGAATGGGCTACATGACCATTGCTAAGCTGCTTGGCGAGAAGGTGACAACAGTTGGTGCGATTATTCGCAAATGGAAGAAACACAAAAGAACTGTCAATCTCCCTCCGCCTGGAGCTCCATGCAAAATCTCACCTCGTGGAGTTGCAATGATCATGAGAATGGTGAGGAATCAGCCCAGAACTACACGGGAGGATCTTGTCAATGATCTCAAGGCAGCTGGGACCATAGTCACCAAGAAAACAATTGGTAACACACTACGCCGTGAAGGACTGAAATTCTGCAGCGCCCACAAGGTCCCCCTGCTCAAGAAAGCACATATACAAGCCCGTCTGAAGGTTGCCAATGAACATCTGAGGATAATTTGGTGAAAGTGTTGTGGTCAGATGAGACCAAAATGGAGCTCTTTGGCATCAACTCAACTCGCCGTATTTGGAGGAGGAGGAATGCTGCCTATGACCCCAAGAACACCATCCCCACCGTCAAACATGGAGGTGGAAACATTATGCTTTGGGGGTGTTTTTCTGCTAAGGGGGCACCGCATCAAAGGGACAATGGATGGGGCCATGTACCGTCAAATCTTGGGTGAGAACCTCCTTCCCTCAGCCAGGGCATTGAAAATGGGTTGTGGATAGGTATTCCAGCATGACAATGACCCAAAAAACACGGCCAAGGCAACAAAGGAGTCGCTCAAGAAGAAGCACATTAAGGTCCTGGAGTGGCCTAGCCAGTCTCCAGACCTTAATCCCATAGAGAATCTGTGGAGGGAGCTGAAGGTTCGAGTTGCCAAACGGCAGCCTCAAAACCTTAATGACTTGGAGAAGATCTGCAAAGAGGAGTGGGACAAAATCCCTCCTGAGATGTGTGCAAACCTGGTGGCCAACTACAAGAAACGTCTGACCTCTGTGATTGCCAACAAGGGTTTTGCCACCAAGTACTAAGTGATGTTTTGCAGAGGGGTCAAATACTTATTTGCCTCATTAAAATGCAAATCAATTCATAACATTTTTGACATGCGTTTTTCTGGATTTTATTGTTATTCTTTCTCTCACTGTTCAAATAAACCTACCATTAAAATTATAGACTGATAATTTCTTTGTCAGTGGGCAAACGTACAAAATCAGTAGGGGATCAAATACTTTGTTCCCTCACTGTAATGCTGCCTTGCAATAGGTATCTGTTTGCAAATTGGACTATGTACTTTATTCATTTCTATTTTATTTTCGTGAATTGCTTTCCTTTTGGTAAAGTTACGTAGTTAGAAATAAAACAAATCACGACGTTTCGATCGCAACACAAGCGGTCGTCATCAGGCAAAGGAGTCAGCCTTTAAAGGCAGACTGTTTATAAAGGTTTGGGGATGGGCATAGCCCAAGTGCACCAACAACAACAGTAGAAGCACGGGTGGTGCACGAGTGCAAATGCAGCAACAATGCCAATACAGCAACAATGCAAATGCAGCAACAATGCAAATGCAGCAACAATGCCAATGAAGCAACACTGCCAATGCAGCAGCAATGCCAATGCAGCAGCAGATATGATGGAACAACCATAAACAGTAAAGATTTTACCTGTTTAATAACATCCTTCCAATGTTTCGATTTAAAGCTTTCATGACTGCAAGGATTCATCTTCTTTGGTTCTTTCGGTAAAGTCACTTAGAATGAGAATAAAATAATAAAATAAAACAATAAAATTCTCACGACGTTTCGGCCACAATACAAGTGGCCACATACTTCACCTGGAATGGAACTTTCTACAAACAGACTGAGGGCACCCCAATGGGCTCCCCCCTGTCTCCGGTTGTAGCCAACGTTTTCATGGAAAAATTTGAAACTGACGCCATCCAGACTGCCACTCTACGCCCGACCTTATGGAAGAGGTACGTGGATGACACTTTTGTCATCTGGCCACATGGCCAGCCTGCTCTAGACCAATTTCGGGACCACATCAATTCCATACACCCAGCCATCAGATTTACCATAGAGGTGGAAAAAGATGGCAAGCTACCCTTTTTGGATGTCTTAATTAAAAGGAGACCTGATGGCTCAATGAGCCACTCTGTCTACAGGAAAGCTACCCATACAGATGCTTACTTGAAACCGGATTCCCACCACCATTCATCCCAGAAGAACTCCCTCATCAAGACTCTATACCATAGAGCCCAATGCATTTCCGACTAGGAACACATTACCAGTGACCTCAAACACATACACCAGGCACTCAGGGCTAATGGTTACTTCGACTACACAATCCGTAAAGCCATCACTCCAGTCATGAAGAAGGATCCTCTTGTGGAGCCACTCAAAACCATCACCTTACCCTACATTGCAGGGGTCACTAAAAAAATCTCCAAAATCCTGAATAAACACAAGATCCAGGTCCAATTCAACACAGTACATAAAATCCGTGATCTGGTTCCATCTGTAAAAGATGCTGTTCCAGACATATAGTACCCGGGCGTTTACAAACTAAAGTGCCTCTGTGGTAGTAGCTACATTGGAGAAACCAAACGATATATCTCGGACCGCATCCGCGAACATAAAGCAGACTTGAAACACGGTAGAACGAACTCCTCTGCCGTGGCAGATCACTGTTATAATTCAGTGGGCTCACATGACATTGACTTCTCCAAGACGGAGGTTCTTTGCAAACCAACCGGCTACCATGAGAGATTCGTTCACGAGGCCATTCATATATACAAGCACAGAGACAATTTCAACCGAGAAGATGGATTCTGGCTTAGTAACCATTGGAAAGATGTTTTAAACCATTTCCGTTCTTAATTAATTGTATTTTACGATGACCTTCAGACCGCAGCTCTTTTGCTGGCATTGACTCTTAATACCTCTCACACCACGGTTAATGGTATGGTTTATAACATGATTATGACAGCGCCTTGCAGCTGTTTCTCTCCTCTGTTCTGACCATGATGGACTCGTCCGTCTGAATGGGGCTCGTAGCAGTCCGTGGTGCTGATGTGGAGGGTAAGAATCCACCCATTTTTTCGCCATATAGCATCGTGATATATAACGACTTATTGTTGGTAGCTCAGCTGATTGGAGAATATATAGAGTTTATTGATAACATTGAGGTATATTCTTAGTTTTTTCGGTAAAGTCACGTTGAAGAGAAACAACAAAATAATAAAATATATATAAAACAATATATACATTGTATTATTTTGTTGTTTCTCTTCAACGTGACTTTACCGAAAAAACTAAGAATATGAATTACTGCAGTCATGAAAGCTTTAAATCAAAACATTGAGGTAGTTTATATTTTAGTTTTTTATCTACTGTATGATAGTTGAGTTGTTGCAGCCCCTTTGGCGTCCATGTACGAGGTGCCTCTGTGGATGTGTAGGCTTTGACTTTAACATAGCTATTTCTGTGACCAGTCACAAGCTAATCCCTCAACTGTTTCAATGCTAAATTCTCCTGTTTGATATGTAAACCCCTTTGTAAGGTGCCTCACTTCTCTCAACCAGCTTAAAAGACGCTGTGAATCTTAGCAGCGTTCATTGTAGCTCTGTCGTCCCGACAGGTTTGTTCCTTTCACCTGAAGAAGGCCACTTGTGTTGTGGCCGAAACGTCGTGATGATTTTATTGTTTTATTTTATTATTTTATTCTCATTCTACGTGACTTTACCGAAAGAACCAAAGAAGATTAATCCTTCCAATGATGGCTTAATTTGTATCCATGGCTATGTTTATATATCTGGATGGCTTTATGAACAAACCTTTGATAGTAGCCCGAAGGTTTGCAGAGTACCTTGGTCTCGGAAAAAAACAATATCATGCGAGCCCACAGCATTATAACAATGGTCAGCCACGGCAGAGATATTGGTTCTGCCGTGTTCGCGAACACAAGGCAGATCTGAAACACGGCAGAACATTTTACGAGTGGTGAACCCAGAATATTGTGATTGGTAACATTTGCACGCGTGGACAAAACCTTTGTGGCGTATGGCGGCTGTTGTGTGCGGTAATGTAACCTATAGCGTCCTGCACTACGAACCAGGCAACACGAGCTCGATTCCTACTCACTGCCACCAACACCAGTGACTATCTGAATCAGACTTGGGGCTCCCTAGATCGACTTATCCTCAAATGAGCGCGCTGTGCAGTGTGTAAACATCGCCACTGGGAAAACAAAAGCGGTCGGGTAAGGTGCTGGCCAGACACCCATTCTTGAACTTATTGTTAAGGCTATATTGGTCGTCTTTGTTGCGGGTAACTGTGTATGTGTGTGCATTGGAATATGCTCATGTGTGTTAATATATTTTATTTGACTGCAAGTGTAAGTTAACACTTAACCTTGTGTTTTTTATTTGCATTTTTAGCTTCTGTTAGTATTACTGCTTTTGTAGAGCGTGTTTTGGGAGTGTGTTAACGTGCTGGGTAGCTAACACACGGGTTTGTTTATTTTAACGTGTGTATGTGTATATGTATTTGTTGCTTTTGCTATGCCTTAAATATTCCAGGAAGTAACCACACTCTTGTCAGTGGTTGGCTGGTGCACCATCTTGTGATAAAGTGTCAACACAGAATATTGTGATTGGTGACATTTGTATGGCTTGGGTAACCCAGAGTCTAAGAGCAGTTTTAGTGCCGGGCATAATGGACTTCCAAAGGAAGGTACTGAGGGAGGGTGGTGATTTTACACAGGTTAAAATACGGAACATTATTACAACAACATGGACTGAATGATGATCTCTGCTGGATTGGATGAAGATCTAACGTAATAGAGGTTTTTGGGTTAGATCGCGTAAATATGTAAATGTGTCGTTAAAACACGCCACCACCCGACACAGCCAACTAGAAAGGGTTGTCACGTAAACAGAACATGCCAATTTGTCACCCTTCTGCTTAGTGCAGAAGGGTGGTCAACACATCTACGCCTCTATATAAGGAACAAAACAGTAAGACTTCTCCACAAATGTGGCTGTCGCCTGATGAAGCTAGTTGTAATTATTGGAGAAACGTCGTCCTCAGTTTGTAAACGTTGTGGCTTGGCTCTCCAACACACAGATGTGCTGTACTAGTGATGAATTGGCATGTTCTGTTTGCGTGACGACCCTTACTAGTTGGCTATTTCGGGTGGTGGCGGGTTTTAACGACACATATTTACACGATCTAACCCAAAAACCTCTTATGGATGATATCTGTCGCGAAAGCCTACGTGTTAAACTGAAGATCTAACATTCGACCACACTAATTGCCAGATAATGAATATTCAGCTTGCTAGTCCTGCAGAGAAGAAGCTTGCAAACCTCATTGTGGTTTCAGGCCAGGGCAGTTCTGCGCAAATGTCATACAGTGGACCCTTGAATATCACGGGTTTATTTTTTGCCATTTCGACCTATCACGGGCAACCTCTTTGCAAGTGCTGTTCGCAAGTAGCACCTATAAAGGTCGGCACGGCACACAAAGGGGATAGGTTACCAGCACCATTCCCGGCCGCCTTTGTCTGGGTGATGTTTACACAACACACCAGGTACTTCTAGATTTGAAGTTTTCGTGACTGCAAGGATCCATACTCTTTGGTTCTTTCGGTAAAGTGACGCAGATGAAAAATAAAAATAATAATAATGAAAATAATAAAATGAAAATAACGGAATTAAATCATGACGTTTCGGGCGCAACACAAGCATCCGTCATGACGTGACTTTACCGAAAGAACCAAAGAGTACACCAGGTACTTATTTGAGGTTGAGTCGACCTGGGAAGGCTCAGGGCCAATTCAGATAATCGTCATGGTTTTGGGCGTGAGTGGAAATTGAACTCGGGTCGCTGGGTTCATAGCGCAGCACGCGAAGCACAACCACTCCCCACTCACGCACACACATCGTCATCATTGTAAGTAGAGTATTGATTCAGTATTTATAATCCTATTTATTGTATTGGAATGCTTTTTCTATAGAGTTTCTACTTGTTTATTTCAATTGTTTTGTTTTTAGTTTAGTTGGCATGCTAAATAGTACTTATTTCAATTGTGATGCATATTTTTGGTTGCCGTTTATCTAACCCCATTGTTTAGGTAAGGCTTAAGTATTGAATATCGCCGTTTTGGCTTTCTTGGCACGTCTCTTGATGTAATCAAGGCCTAAGGACCATGAAGAGACTTCAGCTTTTGGTTGTTCATTGTTTTCGCTATCTCTGCCTCTCTGCTCACATTCATTAAGGATTTTTGTGATTTTTGGGCAGGCCCGGCAAATGCTGCGTGACAAGGATTCAGAGCCGCTTCCTGTTCAAGTTGGCGTGTGACAGGAATTCCTTCTGGCCACATACATTACGGTAAGTCCCCGGGTAGCGGAAGACCCGACTTACGGAAATCAAACCTTATGGAAATGCTCCCATAAATCATGTAAAAAATCAACATGCGGAAATGTTCGCCTTAGTTACTTAGCACAAGTAGTCCAGCGCGGTGAGGTTGTAGATGAATACCGCTGAGCGAGGCGTAAGGCAGGCAGCATCTTCCCCAAGGCGGTGGTGTATAGCCGCTCTGCACTCTCAGGCATGCTGTTACATTGTTACCGTGCGTATACTGTTCCCGCCACATCGTCTCGTCACGTTCAGTGTCATATCACCCTTAATTGCATTGCAATAATGACTGGAAAAGATGAAGGTAAATATAATTGTTTTGTAGCATTACCTATTTAATTTTTTTTGTAGCATTATGTGATTTTGGTTTTCTGTGCTTAGAACTATCTTGTTTTTCCCATGTTTCTCTTTATAGTTTTGATTTGAAGTTTATTTCATAAGTTATTTACGTTATGTACTTTATTTAACACAATTGCATTTCGATTGCTTATGGCCTCGGCCAACAGCAATCGGAGAGGTCCAGGCCTAGCCTATTGCCTGGTAATCGAATATTCAGAAGTGACTGTTTTCTGTTAATTAATATTAGAATGTCTCATGGTGTTCATAAATAATTTGATAAGTATATATTCCATTAGTTTAATTATGGGTAGTGTTAGGATAGATATTCGATTAAATGAAAGAATATAGGAAGTGCAGAACGTATGTACAGCAATACGATACAGGTCGCGATAGAAAATGGACTATAGCGCGATACAGTACTGAGAGAAAATGAACGAGTAATTGGGTACGGGCGACACAACTATTTCCGCCTATGGGATTTTGTCTTGATTTTGGGAGAAAATTGTTCAGTTTACAACATGGGAAATTCGGGTTACGGATCATTCCCAGGAACCTAACCCTTCCATAACCTGGGGACTGTACATTAAGATAGCATCTTCAATAGGTACATAGTTTTGAGAACCTCACAATGGCCCTGCAAAAATGCATTCGGTACAGTTACAATGAGAGGCTGATCGATGGCTGGTTATAGTTCAGGGATCGTTTCCTGCTGGTCAACCATGTTATGTATGCCGATGGTTTGGTAATGGCTATTCAATGCGATGGAGTTAAGGACTCTTGTTCTCTACCTGGAGAATTTAATCATGAGGAGCCTTACATATGTTCCAAAAAAATAAAGGACCTGCCAGGGTATTTCATGTCATCCAACATTCCGCCTGCTCGCCTCTTAATGAGTAATGAGACAGTTTTACAGGTGGTTGAGGAGCTCCCATATTTGGTTAATGTGTCCACAACCAGCTCTGGTTTGGCAGCTAAAGTCTTAATTCAAATTAGTTGAGCAACATTCTTTAATTAGACTGTCTAACATGGAGAGGAAGCTGCCTGGACCGCTGCTCCATACAAATTACTGACTCCTTTAAAGAACCATTTGTGCTGGCTTATACACTTTAGGTTTGCCTGCCTATGATTCATCATCTATTGAGCCAGACTTGATGGTATTCGAAGCTTACAAATCCCTGAGATATCCGTACAGAATATAATCAGTGAGCCTCTTTGGCAGGCGAGGCTGCATTCATTGGTCATGAATCCTGCATGCTCAGAGACTGCACGCTCAAGCAGCGTAAGTTAGTTCTAATACGAGGGACTAATCAGGCATGGCATGGGCTAGAGAAGAGATTGGAAGATGTGGAGGTGATCAGACTTGCCGATGACTGGTACCAGGAGTGTGAAGATCGGCCTCTGTGGAGCAGGCCCGCGAAGGATGCTGCAGGGTAGTTGGAGGCATTCGTCCTGCAACAACATCAATGGGTGGAGTGCTGGGTGGCTAAAATGCAGCTAGTTGGCACAATGTGTAGCACAGGTGGTGCATCTGCCAGTCGTCTCAGTCATTCCTTGACACCTGAATCATTCCCATGACCTACTGGCAAGTGCTCCACACTTACATGGCATCAATTCGCACCAATCATGGCATGACCACTGTGATGATGTTACTACCAATTAGTGGTGAATGGTGGCTGTTTTCTTTATGTAATCTGTTAATGATCCATGTGAAACATATCTGTATGTAAGAGTGTATCTACATGGGGAGTGGAGGCACATGTGTTCGTCCACTGCATTATGGAGCCAACATTCAGTTGTATTATTGCTAACAGCAAACGTGATTGATAAGTGATAGCTTAACTTATTGTAGGCCTCTGCTGGATTGATTGTTCCTAGGTTAAGTACTTGGTGAAGAGTATAAGCATTTGTACTGAGCAGAGAAAGGGAGCCAGGCATGGTTCTAGCCACAACACCACCTTTTACAAATATTACAAACATGTTTATTACAAAAATGTTTGTGTGCAGAGAACAACTCTGCTTCATTGTTTACTATTATCAAACTAATTATATTATTTTATTGTTTCCCTTCAACGTGACTTTACCGAAAGAGCTAAGAATATGAATTACTGCAGTCACGAAAACTTTAAATCAAAATTTAAATTTACATGATTAAGTTGCAAAATATTTCCTTTTTTTGGTGCGTTTTTATGACGCTGCGACGGTGTACTGCCAGTCTGTGCTGTGGACTGCTGCCTGCTGATTCATTAACATCAGTGTACTGCCACTATCTACACTGTTAATTTTGCTTTTGCCCATTATGAGTGTATGCCAGTCTATAATCTGTTGCCTGCTTCTTTACCTCACTAAGTGTACTGCCAGCCTTTTATTTCGACTGTATCCTGCTTTTTCAGCTGCTGCCTGTATTGCCAGCATTTTATGTCCACTGTAGCAATGCTTATGTCATTGAGTCGGTGTACTGGCAGTCTATAATCTATACTGTAGCCTGCTTCTCAACTTACCTGTGCGTACTGCTGCTTTTTAATGTACACTTATTTCAGATTATTTCTACTATGCATTTCTATTGTTTCGATTGCTCACGTCCCGCAATTTACTCATACGTACTATTGCGATGCTGATAGCTGTGCCATCATCGGGGATTGCTGTGCACGTCCATGTGTGTGTGTGTGAGTCGATGTGTGCGTTTCAGTCCATATGTGTGTGCGTGTAGGTCCGTGCGTCTGTGTGTAAGTCCATGTGTGTGTCTGTCTTTTTCGAACCGACAACGCCCGATGTGTGTGTGTGTACGTCGATGTGTTTGTGTGTTCGTCCAAGTGCGTGTGTCAGTCCATGTGTGTGTATCAGTCGCTTGTGTGTGTTAGTCGATGTGTGTGCATGGCTCCATGTCAGTGTGTAAGTCAATGTGCGTTTGTGTGTGTATGTGTGTCATACATATGGATGTACACACACACACATTGACTGTATGTGTCAGTCCATATGTGTGTGTAAGTCTATACATGTGTGCGTGTCACTCGATGTGTGTGTGTAAGTCAATGTGTGTGAGTTGATATGTGTGTGTGTAACTCCATGTGTGTGTATATCTAAAGTATTTTGTCTGTGTGTGAGTCCATATGTCTACGTGTGTGTACGGCAATGTGTGTGTCAGTCTATGTATGTATGTGTGTGTGAGTCTATGTAGGTGTGTGTGTGTCAGTCCATGTGCATGTGTGTTAGTCGCTGTGTGTGTGTGGCTCCATGTTAGTCAGTGTTTAGTCCATTTCTTTGCGTGCCTGTAGGTCCATGTGTGCGTGTTAGTCCATGTGTGTGCTTTATTTACCTGCTCAAGGCCTATGATACCATCAGTAGGCCTGGGCTCTGGCTTGCTCTTCGTACTTTCGGAGTCCCTGACCCTCTGCTCATGATTCTTAAGGACCGTCATGATGGTGAGCGGCCCCACGTCCAACTACGTGGCTGTGAGTCAGAGCCATTCCCTCTACACCTTGGGGTGCAACGGGGATGTCCTCTTCCTCCCACATTCTTTTATATATATATTTGGACCACGTAGTTCATTAAGCCTTCAATGCCTGTACCGGAACAATTTCCATCTGGTACAGATACAATGGGAGGCTGATCGATGCCCTGGTGCGGTCAAGGGATGGCTCCCTATTGGTCAACCACGTTATGTATGCCGATGATCTGGTAATTAATGCTCACTCAGAAGAAGAGTTGGACGTGCAGCTGCTAAACCTGGAGCTTGCCACTAAGAGGTGGGGCCTTACCATCAGCCCCACGAAAACTAAGCACCTGCCTGCATATTTTGTACCATCGGACAATCCACCCCCACAACTCACAATTGGTGATGGGGCAGTTGTGGAGAGAGTGCAGAGTTTCCCATACTTGGCCAGTGTGCTCATGCCCGGCTCTGGTTTAATACCAGAGGTCTCACTCCGAATCAGTCGAGAGGCATTATGTTTTCATCGGCTCCGTAACACTGTGTGGAAGCTACCTGGTCTCTCGCTCCGCACGAAGCTCCAGGTCTTCTCGCCCACGGTCATTCCCTCCCTTCTCTACGCTTGCGAAACTTGCACCCCCCTAATGCAACATCTTCGCCGGTTAGAAACATTTAGGTTGGCCTGCCTTCGATCCATCCTGGGTTTCACCAGGCTGGATTGTGTGATGAGCTCACAAATCCTTGAAAGATCTGGACAAAATCCCATTGTTGACCTCCTACGGCAGGCAAGGCTGCGTTGGTCTGGGCCATGTAGCCCGCATGCCCAGCCACCGCATGCCTAAACAGCTTTTGTTCCGCCGGATCGAGGGGGCTAAACGGGCGTGGCACGGGCTAGAGAAGAGATGGAGTGATGTGGTACAGGACGATGCGGAGCTGAGTGGACTTGCCGATGACTGGTACCAACGGTGTCAAGATCGGCCTCTGTGGAGGAGCCTCGTGAAGGACGCTACTGGCCAGTTGGAGGCAGTCTCCCTCGAACAACAACAGAGGGCGGAGGAGCGACGCTCAGAACAACGGAGCGCCAGGTGACTAAAGCACAGCAAGTTAGCATGGTAGAGGGCACAGGTGGTGCATCAGCCAGTCATCTCAGTCAGCCGACACGTGGCACCTGGGTCTGCCCCATGATCTCCTGCCAGCGGGCGTTCGACACTTCACGTGGCCTCAAGGTGCACATAGCCTGTCACAAGTGTCGTTGTGACATCAACGCCACTTTGTGGTGAATGGCGGTTGTTGTTGTGTGTATGTACATGTTTGTGTATGCTTAAGTCCGTGTGTGTGTGTGTGGCTCTATGTGCGTGTGTGAGTCGATGTGTCTTTGTGTGCGAGTCTATGTGTGTCAGTCGATGTGTGTACGCCAATGTGTGTATGTGTATGACAGTCCATGTGTGTAAGTCCATGTGTCTCTTAGTCGATATGTGTGTCTTTGTAAGTCCATATGTGTGTGTAACTCCATGTGTGTGTGTCTAAAGTCGATGTCTGTCTTTGTGAGTCCATATGTGTGTGTGTGTGTGCGCGTAAGTCGATGTGTTTCTATGTGTGTGGGTCCATGTCTGTACGTGTAAGTCGATGTGTGTGTCTGCCTTTTTCGCGCTTGCCAGGGATTTGGCTCTCAAACGGTGGGGTTGATGTCGAAAAAAATTTGGCAGCCAGCACTCCCTAAGCCCCGCGGTGGGAATAGGCTATTCCTTTTTCACGTCCGTCACTTTAAATTAGTTAAATTAGCGATTTTGTGGAATTTTGTTATATTAATTATTTACTGCATGCCACCGGCCATACCAACTCACGCCAATTGGGTTGGGGGGGGCGGACCCTACCAAGTGATGCATGTTCGGACGAGCTCACTGTACTGACAGCCTTTCATGTTGACTGTATTCTGCTTTTTCTGCTGCTGCCCGTATTGCCAGCTTTTTATGTCAACTGTAGCAATACTTACGTCATTGAGTCGGCGTACTGGCAGTCTATAATCTAGACTGTAGCCTGCTTCTCAACTTACCTCTGCGTACTGCTGCTCTTTAACTTACACTTATTTCTGCGTATTTCTTCAATGCATTTCTATTGTTTCTATTGCTCATGTCACGCTATTTACTCATACATAGTACTGCGATACTGATAGCTGTGCCATCATCGGGGATTGCTGTGCACCTCGACGTCTGTGTGTGAGTCGATGTGTGTGTGTGTGTTTGAGTCCATATGTGTGTACGTGGAGGTCCATGCGTGTGTTTCAGTCCATGTGTGTGTGTCTGTCTTTTTCGAACGGACAACACCCGATGTGTGTGTCAGTCCAAGTGTGCGTCAGTCCAAGTGTGCGTGTCAGTCCATTTGTGTGCGTATCAGTCGCTGTGTGTGTGTTAGTCCACATGTGTGTGTAAGTCCATACATGTGTGTGTGTCACTCTATGTGTGTGTGTAAGCCAATGCGTGTGTGTGAGTCAATATGTGTGTGTTAATCCATGTGTGTGTATCTAAAGTAGATGTCTGTGTGTGAGAGTCCATATGTATGTGTGTAGGGCAATGTGTGTGTCAGTCTATATATGTGTGTGTGTGAGTCTATGTGTGTGTTTAAGTCGATGTGTGTGCGTGGGTCTGTGTGTGTGTAAGTCCATGTGTGTGTGTCTTAGTCGATATGTGTGTGTGTAAGTACATATGTGTGTTTACATCAATGTGTGTGAGTCCATGTGTTTGTGTGTGTGAGTCGATGTGTCTGTGTAACTCCATGTGTGTGTGTCTAAAGTCGATGTCTGTCTGTGCGAGTCTAAATGTGTGTGTGTGCATCTAAGTGGATGTGTTTCTATGTGTGTGGATTCATGTCTGTGTATAAGTCGATGTGTGTGTCTGTATTTTTCGCCCGGGCAACGCCGGATACTTACCGCTAGTATGTATATATATATTTCTATGCTGACTTACATTGTGTGGATATTACTGTTTTCTGTCTGCAGTGGTCAGTCGTTTCAGAAACGAAACGACATGTCTCTGACCGCGTTCGTGAACACAAGGCAGATCTGAAACACGGTAGGACCAATACCTCTGCCATTGCTGATCATTGTTTTAACGCTGTGGGCTCACATGAAATGGATTTTTCCAAGACGGAGATACTCTGCAAACTTACCGGCTATTATCAGAGATTTGTTCATGAAGCCATCCAGATATATAAACACAGACACAACTTAAACCGAGAGGATGGGTACAAGCTGAGCAAAAATTGGAAGGACGTTATTAATCAAGTAAAGTCTTAACTGACTAACGTTTCCATCCTACCTGCCTATGTCAGCTGTTATTTCCGACTCTCTGAGTACATCACCGGATTAAATATCTGTGAGGCGGCCCAGCCACAGGAGGATCCCCGCCACCTCCGGTTGCATGGGACCGTCTCACATTGACATGCTAATCTCTCACATTTGTCTAAATTCCTTCTCTAGCTCCGCCCACTTAACCTTGGGTTGTGCCCACCAAAATCCTTTATAAACTCTTGTTGCAGCAGCTCTTCTATATCAGCAGTTCTCCTGTTGTATCTGTTCCACCTGATGACGGTCGCTTGTGTTGCGATCAAAACGTCGTGATTTATTTTATTTTATACCTACGTGACTTTACGGAAAGAACCAAAGAGTATATATTTCTTCAATAGCCAGATGCAACTGAAATTCTGTACGTAGAGTTATGGCTTATCATTGATATTAAATCTACTAGGGCCTCCAGGCATTATACTGACCAATTTCCTGCTATGCCAGGCCAAGATTTGATCGTCAATAGTAGCAAATGCCTTTTGACAGCCTGTGTGTTGAATTGGGGGTGATTTTTTATATTTCTCGTTAATGTTTGAGTGTTCTTGTCTATGCAACAGGTGAATATCACGTGTGACTGTATATATATGCATTTCTATGCTTCTATGCTGACATACATTGTGTGGATTTTTCTGTTTTCTGTCTGCAGCTGCCAGTTCCTCTTCCACTTTAGTGTACAGAATTGGTCAGATGGAGCGAAGACAATCAGCGGGAGAGAAACTATTCAAGTGCACTGTGTGTGGGAAGGCGTTTGCACATGCATCAATTCTTCAGGTCCACCAGAGAACACACACGGGAGAGAAACCCTTCAAGTGCACTGTGTGTGAGAAGGCATTTGCAATATCATCACACCTTAAAACACACCAGAGAATACACACAGGAGAAACACCCTTCAAGTGCACTGTGTGTGGGAAGGCCTTTGCTCAGTCATCACATCTTAAAAGACACCAAAGAATACACACAGGAGAAACACCCTTCAAGTGCACTGTGTGTGAGAAGGCATTTGCACATTCATCACATCTTAAAACACACCAGAGAATACACACAGGAGAAACACCCTTCAAGTGCACTGTGTGTGGGAAGGCTTTTGCACATTCATCACATCTTAAAACACACCAGAGAATACACACAGGAGAAACACCCTTCAAGTGCACTGTGTGTGGGAATGCGTTCGCACATTCATCACATCTTAAAACACACCAGAGAATACACACAGGAGAAACACCCTTCAAGTGCACTGTGTGTGGGAAGGCGTTTGCACATTCATCACATCTTAAAAGACACCAGAGAATACACACAGGAGAAACACCCTTCAAGTGCACTGTGTGTGGGAAGGCGTTTGCACAGTCATCACATCTTAAAACACACGAGAGAATACACACAGGAGAAACACCCTTCATGTGCACTGTGTGTGGGAAGGCGTTTGCATGGTCATCAATTCTTCAGGGCCACCAGAGAACACACACGGGAGAGAAACCCTTCAAGTGCACTGTGTGTGGGAAGGCGTTTGCAGAGTTATCACATCTTAAAACACACCAGAGAATACACACAGGAGAAACACCCTTCAAGTGCACTGTTTGTGGGAAGGCATTTGCACAATCATCACACCTTAAAACACACCAGAGAATACACACAGGAGAGAAACCCTTCAAGTGCACTGTGTGTGGGAAGGTGTTTGCAGAGTCATCACATCTTAAAACACACCAGAGAACACACACAGGAGAAACTCCCTTCAAGTGCACTGTGTGTGGGAAGGCATTTGGACATTCATCACACCTTAAAACACACCAGAGAATACACACAGGAGAAACACCCTTCAAGTGCACTGTGTGTGGGAAGGCGTTTGCACAGTCATCATATCTTAAAAAACACCAGCGAACACACACAGAAGATAAACCCTTAAAGTACACTGTGTATGGGAAGGGTTTTCGACAGTTAGGGGATCGAAACAAGCATCAAACCATTCATCAGGAAATTAATCTGATATCAGCTTGTGAAATTCAAAGTGCTGCAATGAGTCCATCCCTCATTAAACAAGAACCAGAAAACCATTTGAGATATGACACGTGGCCTGGAGTGAAGGCAAAATGTCAAGAAGTGAAAATGAAATTTGAATCGGTGAAGGTGAAGAGCGAAGAAGTGATGGTAAAGAGTGAAGTGATAGTGAAATGTGAGAATGAAGATTCAACTCCAAAATCCGACCTTCACATCGATCGAGGCAGCGTGAAGCTGGAGGAAACTGTGGACTCTGAGGCAGAGCAAGGCAACTCCCAGCAGTTTGTGGATGTGGAGGTGTGGGTGGATTTTTTAGGCAAAACTTGATTCAAATGGAGACCAAGTAGATGTGTATCATTGAGCTTAGGATAAAGAAGTTCCATTTCATTCACAGGCCTTTCCCATAATAGAGGTTTTTTTTTGGGTTAGATCGCGCAAATATATAAATATGTCGTTAAAACCTGCCACCACCCGACAATGCCAACTAGTAAGGGTTGTCATGTAAACAGAACGTGCCAATTCGTCACTAGTACAGCACACCGGTGAGTTGGAGAGCCAATCCACAACATTTATAATCTTGAGTACGACGTTTCGCCAGTCATTACAAGTAGCTTCATCAGGCGACAGCCAGATTTGTACCTTTCCCATTACAAGGGTTTCACCTCCAAGTAGTCAATAGAGGCAGAATGAAGCTGGAGGAGGCTGTAGACTGAGAGAGAGTGAAATGAAACCCAGCAGTTTGTGGAGGAGGATGCAGAGTAGGAGCAGCCAGCATATGTGGACTTGAAGGTTGGGTAGATCTGTAAGCAGGAGCTGGAGACATAAAAGCTCCACAGCATTCAACGTGTTATAATAATATTTAGATTAATAATTGCCGCTTGCATAAATATTTTATTTCTTTCTCACTGTGTGTAGCCAATCTTGCTGATCAAAGGTGAAATGCTTCTGCAACTAAAAGCGGCTTGTTTCATATTTCATCTCAATCATTCGATGGCTAGCCCAAGTGGGAGTTGTCCCTTTGTGGTACAAGGTGACTCAGTACCGACCTGCACGTTGACATGAGTCTACCAGTAGGGTGGAGCGATTATTGATGTGTAACCACAGTGGGTTTATTTGTGGCTAATCTTTCGACAATCGGACAAATTTTGACCCTGACACCATGAATGTTGAACATCCACTGTTATGTTGATGGTGCATATTTTTGGTCAATATTGCTGCAGTAATCATGAGGGCTGCCGGACAGATGTGAACTGTGAACCTCTTATCAAATATCAACCGTGCTATCACTTGGCTTCTCTCATTATAAGAATGCATGCAGGTGTAGGCATCCATTCAGAGATCAGTGTCCAGTAAATCCGATGTAATGTGAGGCAGTATACTTCAATGCAATTATTCAATGTTGGCGGTGTATCTCTTGATCATTTCGAATTCTAATTTTGACACGTGTAGTGTTCACCAACGCGGAGGCACACACTCTGGACTGGGAGGCAACACTTTTATTTAACAACTTCCCTCGCGGGTAACACTGAGGCGATGTGGCTAACTATGTGAGTAGCGAGTTAACTCTAGATGAAGACTCAGAGACGACGAGATGCGGGACCCAGGCTTAATTCCACAGACAAGCCAAGCTCTCTTTCGGTACTGCCCCTTTATGCTCCTGAGCGTGGCCTGGCTCCGCCTTCGGGCACGCCCCCTTCGAGACCTTTCTCGTAGGTTCTCGGCCGAGCATCACGTGCCCTCCTGGGTTCACTCGGGCCACCACCAGGACCACGCCCCCTAGGGCTGGCTGACATGCCGTACCCACTCTGGTCCAGACGCACAGCTGCACTCCTGTAACAGCAGCTGGCGCTAACATCCTATTGACACCATTTACATCACTACATCACCCCCCCCCCCTTCTAAAACACAGCCGCCCCAGCTAATCACTATACCCTTAACAGCAACAACAAAGAACAAAATAATAAGCCTCCCAAAGTTTTCTTTGTAACAATAACAAAAAACCCAATGACAACAAAGCAAGCAGCAACCATCGCCCAGACAACATGTACATCAACGGAGGAGTACCCAAAAACATTTTCTTTTTTTCCGCTAACACATGACCAACACAACCCCCAGACAATGTACACCACCCAACACCCGTAAGCATGTGATCCTGCGTGTGTGTGTGATCGTGTATGCGATCTCCAACGGCGTAGGGATAAATAAGACGGGGGAAGGGTCATTTCAACGGGTGGACTTGAAGAAGGGCCAACGGGTGCAGCCTCTCCCGGGAAGAAGAACAAATGGAAGAAGCAGGAATGGGTGACAGCTGCTTCACTCTCCTCCACGTCCGGTCGGCACAACCGGCAACTCCAAGGGTACCAGGTGCTGGGATCTTGTGGGCGGAAAACCCGAAAACCCCTGAGGCACGACTTCCGCAGACACGCCCCAGCTCGTCGGACTCATCAGCCACCCAGCCCTTGGGTAGTGGGGTTGACGGGATCCTGCCCAGTGGGGAAAATAAATAAAACGGTTTCAAACGTGACGGATGCACAACAAACGCGGCGATCGGACTGGGTCTACACAAACCCATTTACACAACATGAACGTCAGGTCTCATGCCACCGTGCAACCATCCTGTCAAGCAGGTGATGATAGGGCGAGGTCTGAACCTTATAAGTGCCCATCCAAGCACATCTTCAGTACTATTTGGACATCTTCCAACATCCTGGGTCAAAGAAGTCATGCTCCAAGTTCGACCCATCTACTGGCTCAAGGAATTCGCTCTTCAAGGTTGAGCCATGTACTGGTTCAAGGAAGTTGCGCTTCAAGGTCGAGTCAGTATGCAGCGCACCAAAGTGCAGAAATGAGTTTGGCGGGAATCCCGGCCTGCTCGTGAACAAAATGGCGGCCACACGCGTGAGCGGCATCTCAGCGGGTTCCCCCGTGCACCTAACACATCGACCGACACACATCCACTCCGCACACACACACACAACGACTCACACACATGGACACATAGACTCGCGCACACACATAGACTCAGACATGCACATCGACTCACACGCACACATGGACTTAGACACATTTTAAAATTTACTAACTTAATTTTTAAATATTGTCTACACACACACCACGCACACACATTCACTAACACACATTCACTAACACACACATCGACTGACACATCGACTCACGCACACACACACATCGACTTACGCAGACTGACACATCGACTCGTGCGCGCGCACACACATCGACTTATACACACACGGACGTACACACATCGTCACAGACACGCACATTGACTCACGCACACAAGGACTTAGAAACACATTATTTTAATATTTACGAACTTAATTTGGAAATATTAGTTGTCTCCACATATTATTTTCATATTTCCAAACTGATTTTTTTAAATATTAGTTTTCTTTCTACGTGAGTTTAGTGAACGAAGCAAGAAAATAGTACTTATTTAACTTTGCCGTGGTGAGGCCTAGTCCCGTGCAGAGACCCCTGGCCGAGGTGCCCAGCCGGCCGAGGTGGCACCTTGGCAAGCTGGGGGCTGGGCCGCTACCCCCCCCCCCGCTACCATCCCCCCACCTGTGCTACAATACTATCTAAGCACGATAATATTAGTATCTACCGACCCTATAGACTACTATATTGGGGTGGGGAACATGACACTTTGATGAATTTACCTCAGCGTTGTGTGTATTTTTTTGCATTTAGAACGCGAATGAGAAATCCCCCCCCCTCTCCACCGATGACGCGTGTGCGTTGCTAGGAGCAACCCCGGGCAGCTTTAGTGCTCACGGAGCGGTGTGAAAAATTAATTAAATAATAAAATTACACTCAGTTGTTAATTTAACTACTTTATAGTTGACGGATGGGAAAACGGAATACCACTGGCTCACCATGGGGCTTATGGCGTTATACCTGGCTACTTTTTCTAAACGTAAACCCCACGGTTTGCGAGCTAAATCCTTCGCAAGTGTGCGTCAACAGACAGACAGATGGACAGATAACAAATGACGTTTATAGGTACGATACAAGGGAAAACACTGAAATGTTACAAAAAGGAAATATTTTCTCCACAACGCTAATTATGTTGTGTTATCTTACCTAATAAACGTGTTTTTTTGTCTGCCTGTCTGCGTACGCCTATCCTCTTAACGCTTTTAACTGACAAACTGTTGGGTTTATGTTTCAACAAAGAACACATTCAAGAAACTAAGCCCCCGGATGAAAACTCGCTATTTGTTTTTGCCCTTGGTCCAATGTAAAATAATAAAATCACACTTTGTAACAATGTACGCTGATCATAATGATAACTTTGAGCATGTGCCAAAGCACGCATCTGCGCATGCATAGAAACGCCAACTCGCTGTTGCCCATAGCAATACAAACAAGCTTTCTGAGCAGTGACAGGAGGGAGGTTCTCCGCGTTAAAATTGGCAAAAAAAAATAAAGCACAGTTACTCCTGCACAAGCACACACTGAGGTAAATCCTGAACAGTGTGATGTCCTCTTCTCCCCCCAGCCACCTCAGTGTGCATTTACTACAATTGTAGATACTACTAGAGTGAGTAGATACTACTATAGTCAGTAGATACTACTGTAGGCAGTAGATACTACTATAGAGTCGGTAGATACTACTATAGAGTCAGTAGTTACTACTATAGTCAGTAGATACTATTATATTCACTAGATAAGACTAGAGTCAGAAGATACGCCTGTAGAGTCTCTAGATACTAATTCTATTGTATGTAGGGTGTGTAGGTATATTTGTGTCTGCAAAATAAATAAAATGGGTAGGGGGGGGGGGGGTTCGAAAACATTTGGAAACCTTGAGATCAACTTTTTACCCCCCCCCCCCCCCCCCCCACTTTCTATAACTTTTTAATTCAGAACTTCAGAAAGGCTGTTA